CTCCTCCGGAGTAAGGCCAGAGTTAATCAGGATGGCTCAAAAATAAGTCTCCCAGAGATCGCTAGAATTTGCTGCCTCGGAAATGCGTTTAGGATCGTGGCCTATTTTGGGTGGGGTCGAGAGTGGTTTTTTATGCAGAGGCATGTAGGAATATTTGGAGGTCCGGAGGCCGGGCTGGAAAGGACTGGTGAGTGGAAGGGTGGCCAGGGCTCCTTTTTCCTCTGCAGAACTTGTGGGTAAAAAGAAGATTATATGGGTGTCAGAGAGAGAGAGAGAGAGAAATGGGGAAATACCTGTGCACACTTATCCTCCATTCAGTACAGTGGGACTCTCTTCTGGAGGGAAGCATGCGTAAGATTCTGTTTAAGATCTCTTCTTCACAAAGTTCATAAACAACGTGTGAGAGGGATAAGTGTCATGATTTTCTCCATCATCTGCACTGATAATTATCTTCATTATTTGTAATGTAAGATTTCTAAAGTTCATTACGTGCTTCTGGAATCAATGCTCTCCTTCGTTTTGCAGAACCTGAAAGCAGATTCCATTTTATTTCTGTTCTAGTACTGTAGGTGGAAAAGGAAGAAATGCTATTTTCTCCTCTTTTCTGACTCCCATGATCTTATAGAAGTGACTAGAAGGTTATATTCAGATATATGTATATCTTTGATTTATATACCATCTGTCTTGCGAAATGAAAAATACAATGAAAAATATAAAGAAAACATACATTATAAAATCACTACGAAAGCAGTCAACTGTCCTTACAAGCAAACAAGACATGTGGCAAAATGTTTTTTCCAAGACTGAGCCTAGATCATCCTCAGTTTGCCTGACTTGCTTTTTCCTAGCATCCCCAAGAAGATAAAACCAGAAACCTGTGCTTGCATTATTTGTTGCCCATAGTTTACTGTTATATCCGAACACAAGCTTATGGTTGATCTTAGTTATGTTTAAAAAAAAACTAAATCCACTTCCTATAATAATGTTGTGGATTGTCCAAGATTGTCCATTAAATATCAGAAATGAAACAAAAACCTCTTGTAGCCCTGCCAGAGAAGGGACGGCTCACCTAGGCTTGTTTTTGGAACTATAAACCACAGTTTGGGGTCCTTCTCAACCTTTCTAAACCATGTATTGGACTGGAATGCCCATAATTTCCTGTGAGCATCACTCGTGGCACCAGGTTGAGGGAGTAAAAGTACAAAAACGGATGGCGCTGTCTGAACAAGCACAGAGTTTAATTTTATGCACCTTTCCTCAGAAGTAATTGCTGCTGTATTCAGTAGAGTTTATTCCTAAGTAAGTGTGCATAGGATTGCCACGTAAAGATGAGGCTGCACTCCATTGGGTTTTAGTAGTACAGTATTTTCATGTAGACACAAGCACTGTGATGTACAGGCATTTGTCTTAGGAGAAGAGTAAAAGTCTGAAAAAGGAATGGTAGTGGATTATCTGATGTGTGGACTTATTTGTAGCTCTGGACAAAAGTCATTGAGATCCCAGGGAAAAGTGAGTATCTTTTTACTTTATTGTGGGAGCAATTATTACGCTGTAGCATTTAGATAAGCTTATTTTAGGATAGCAGATAATGAGTGAGAAAATACTTTAAAAATAGTATATGCTTTCTATAATTGTTGCATTTATTGCCATGGGAGTTACTGTTCAAAATACATTTTAGGATTGAGATGTTGATATAACTAAATGAGTACTATGAAATAAAATTATTGTAGATACAGTACTTCTATCTGTACAGAGTGATGCTGGAGGTATTGGTAGGAATAGCATGGGGTGTATTTGAAGGAGTGAGTGTTGGGTGATGTAGTTATGTAGAAAGAATTAGAGGATGTAGGTAAACCTGATTACAGGAAAGTAAGTAGAAAAGGATGCATGTAAGAAATGGAATCTCAACTTTAATGCCACCTGAAAATTAAGGAGTTTCCTGTGAAGATATTATTCACTTCACTGCAAATTTTAGGAAGTCTTTTATTTTACCAGGCTTTTTCCGATGTTACTTTAAATTTAAAGTGATATTGCTGGTGCTGTTTTGTTTTGTTGTTTTTGTCTCCTAAACATTACTGAATTTAGATAGTGAAATAATTTTATTGTGACACTTTTATAAATGATTGTTATCTATCTTCATCATGCATTAGAAATGTATGTAAAAGCGGGAAATCAATCAGTAGTAGATTATTTTGAAATATTAATGGGAAGAATTAGAAAATGAGAATGAGAAAATGTGCGTTTTCTCAGGACTTTAGTGAAGCTAGTTGAAAAGGTTATAAATATCTTGTGTAAGATGAGTTGTTGATTTGCATGGTCAGCTTCTGATAGTTAAAGTACTGTATAATGTTTATAGTGGTTTGATCCAAAGATGTAAGGCTGCAATGTCAGTGAGATGTTATTTCCTTTTTAGTCTTCTGCACAGCTTCTGTGGAACTTTATTAGGGCTTGTTTATAGGTAAGCATGTTTGACAAAAGTTGATAGATGCTTTCACAGGTTGAAAGTCAGTTGCAGCTGGGCGGCCACAAGTGGATGCCAGTCCAGCAAAGCTTTTTATAGTAATAATAAACTTAGGACTGCAGAGCTGGAAGGGACCCTATGGATCGTTGAGTCCAGCCCCTGTCAAAGAGGGACTTGTGGGGGATTGAACTCTCAGCATCCGGCTCTGCAGCCACTTATCTAAACCTCTGAGCTATCCATGTGGAGTGTTTGGTTGGTGAAAGAAGAGTTCTGGCAAAGGGATGCAGTTTGAAACTGGACGCACAGAGACGTGTCGAACCACCGATTGGTCTCTGTGTGTGGAACACTGAAGATTGAAATATTAAACTGTTTTGACAGCCTTTAGGGAGTAGCTCTAATATTAAAGGTGTGGCAGCCCTCACTCCCGTCCTTTTCTTTGGTGCTGGAGGCTAGTGGGGCTTTGCATTCATGTCTAATTACAACATTTGGCAACAATGCAACTGTCTTGCTGGAACCTGCCAAGTAAGGTTGTTTCTGACCTAGGTGAGACCTGCAGCGATCCAGAGAGAGTACCATGCACCTCCTTTTACTTGAGGTGCTTACCTAACACATCAACAACATTCCAAGTTGTGAGTTGTACCATTATAGTTGTGGTGAGTGTTCCTTGTTTACTCTCGTGGATTTCTATGACCGAGGCATGCTAGACAATGTGCAGTAAGTGAACTTTGAGGCATGTTAGAAGTTGGACAATGTGGCTGAAATGATTTTGAATTTCTAGCTGTTTTACCCTTGTGCTGATTGCTATCTCTGTCACTTAGTATCGTTATTCTTATACCCATGAGAGTTGCCTTTGTAATTTATAAACAGTATGCCACGTTCAGACATTTCAGGGTTGTTTGTGACATTCTAATCTAACAGAAAAATTGAAGAAAAGAACTACGGAGAGAGTTGCTAGTGATCAGTTTGTGATGCTGAATATTTGTGATTTGGGAATATGGCCTAGTCCAGTTGTATAAGTGAACATTTGAGCTGGACTGTGGAAGTCACTCTGTGTGTGTGTTTTGTGAGTGTCTCTGAAAATAGGTAAGGAGTTGTTTTATTTCCTCTTAAGTTGACTGACACCGCTTCAGCAAAGCTCGAGGTCTTTTAAAAACATGTTATGTTTGCTAAAATTAAGTCGTTATCTCTAGAGTAAGAATGCAATAGACTGGATTCTTTGGCAGTTTTCATAAATGTTTTTCAGGTGAACATATTTCTGTTTTCTGATGGTACAGTGGTGCCTCACTTAACGATTGCTTCGTACAACGAAAAATTCACTTAACGATGGCTTTTTTGGAGCGATCTTGTACTTCACTTAACGATTTTCCCTATGGGTGATTTTCGCTTAACGATTTCAGGACCATGCTTCACTTAACGATGACAGTTTTAGGTCCCCTTGTTTCGCTTAACGTTTTTTTTACTGTCCCGTTTTTGCTATTTTTAAAATATTCTAAAATGTTTTAAAAATGTTTAAAATACTTGGAATCATTAGTGCACCTAATAAAACCTGGACTGTGGAAGTCACTCTGTGTGTGTGTTTTGTGAGTGTCTCTGAAAATAGGTAAGGAGTTGTTTTATTTCCTCTTAAGTTGACTGACACCGCTTCAGCAAAGCTCGAGGTCTTTTAAAAACATGTTATGTTTGCTAAAATTAAGTCGTTATCTAGAGTAAGAATGCAATAGACTGGGTTCTTTGGCAGTTTTCTTAAATGTTTTTCAGGTGAACATACAGTATTTCTGTTTCCTGATGGTATTCTGATTTAACTTTATGTACATAGCATCTGAAATTCTTGTTGCTTTAACTTACATCTACAGTGACTTTTGGAAATAAATAATTTCTGACTGCCCTCCTCCTCAAAGGTCTCAAAGCTCCCTTGAGGTCCCTTCCATTGTGGGGAAGCCCTTCTATGCCACTGACAGCAGTGATTTTCAGAAATTAAAGACTTCCCTTATCCCACCATCTAGGATCCCTTTCCTTGTGAAAGGGATCCCAAGCGTACCTAAGAACCTTTAGATGCATTTGGGGGGCTGGGGGGTTGTTGGGAATTTTTAATTAAAAATTTTGCTGCACCATCTGCCTTATGTGGCATAAACTGCACAGCAGGATTTCATTTGCTCTGTTTTAATGAATGTTCCCACATCTTTTATATGACTAATAAAGTTTTGTGGGAGAGATTTCATTCCAAGAAAGATTGCTCACTTATTATTGTTCACATAATGGTGGCAGCATGCACAGCAGTTGGCAAGATATAAAAAGACAGTTTGAGGAGATAGCAGAAAAGGGGAGAATTATCAATAGGAGGGAAAATATTTGCTTTATTTCATTGGGGCATGGTTATAGTAATAGATGTGGTGCACTTCTTGTCTGACTTCTCTTTAGTTCCACAAAGCAAACAGGCACCATGTCAACTGTAGTTTTACACTGAAAACTCCCCAAATCATTTCTTGAGTCTGGGTCAGGCAGTAACTTTCTTTGAGGACAGTTGATCCTGTAATTGGTGGCTGTGCGCTTTCTTGTTACATCTTGTAAGCCACCTGATATTCACAGGTTGCTATTGTGTTGATAGGGTGTAATATCTCAGGTCTGAAACTGGGCGTCAGGTTTTACTAATAATATAGGAACAGTTGCTAAGGGAGAAAGGAACTCTCTTTCCTGGCACCCTGTTGTTATGGCAGTGTTGATTGATAGTGCTGAGTAGCAGGGAGATGGTTCTCTTCCCCACTCCCACCCCCTTTTCCCAGGCATTTTGCTTCCCTACTGCTCGGGGTCTGTTGCTGTGGCAGTGAAAGGTGCTGCTCCAGTTAAAGTCAGAGCCTTACCATTGTGTGTATGTGCAGGAGGGAAAAAAACCCTCACATGTTTAGTTGCACAGACGACTAGAATTCTGAAGCTGGCTCCTAGGTTTTTCTTCCCAGAGCATCCAGGTTTGGCACCAAAGAACTGCAGTTGGTGAAATCTTGCTATCTCTCCCCCACTTCTCAATTGCAATATAATAAAAATCAAACATAATTATTTTCTTTTATCTTGCTTGTTCTTCAAGGACAATAGTGTCTGCATGCCTGGTTCAACCCCCTTCTCCCATTTTATCCTAGTAATCCTGTGAGGCAGGTTAGGCCACAAAAGGTACCAAATCTGTACCAGAGCTGGAAAGTAACTTTCATGGTTTACTGATTTGAACCTCCATCTTCCTAGCTGTAGGCTCCTTCCCTGTCCTGTCTCTGGCCATTATTTGGTGCATCGACAAATCAGGGGCAGAAAAGAGGGAATGGAGGTTTAGGGGTTAGAACAAATGGCATCTACTTGGGTTTTAACTGTTTGTGCATACAAACAAACCCACAGGTTTTGATATGATCCTTGGATAATCTGATTTGATCAGGTGATAGCAAAGTGACAAGCTGAGCAGAAAGCTTGTTTTGCCTGTAGATGAGCTACTAATACTGATTCTTGTTCCATAAGTGTAGTTTCCAAAAAAAAAAAATCTAATTGAATTGGAAGTGTAAATCTGAAACTTTCATGGTTTCCCACTCTGGGGAAAGGACATGAGATTTGCTTACCGCTTTTTGTCCTGCAGGTAGGAAAGCTGAAAGTAATTTACACAGATCCAATATTTGTGTTTCAGATTCTGCTGCTCTTCGAAGAAGGTTTTGGCAGGGGTCTTGAGTGGAAGAACTATCCTCTTATTACAGCCATGTTAACAACAGGATGAAGCTGGAGGCTGTTGTGGAACAGCTGCAAAAGCAGCAGCAGCAGCAACAACAACAACAACAAGCCCCTCTGCTGATGGATGCCAGAGAGAGACAGCAGAGGCAGATGAGAGAAACCCAGCTGCATTATGCTCAACAGCTGACAGTGCAACCCCCTGCCCTCTCTGCTGCATCTGGCAAGGCTTCGAGTAGCCCAGCTCTTGGCCCTTCAGCGCGAGTCCTGCCTGTGCTTGGGGCTGCCCGAACTTTTGATCAGAGCAGTATGAACTCGGAGGAGGATGAAGATGAAGAAGGAGAAGAAGAGGAAGAGGAAGAAGAAGATTTGGAAGATGGTGATCTTGAGGAGGGAGCTCCAAGAACTGGGAAAGATGCGTGCTCTGCTTTGAAGTATTTTCATGCTTCCAAAGTAACCCCTCATAACCAAAGAGTGGCTTCTTCATCAAATACCCTGCCAGTTCTTGGGGTGCAGCGGGGGCAACAGGGAAAGGATGACCAGGGTAAAGAAGCTATGAACCCTCCATATTCTGGTACATCATCTGTGAGGCAGACCTGGAGGTTGGATGAACAGCTCAAGCAGGTCAGTAGAAATACCCATAACTGCTGCCTTTGGCCATTAAATGTGGAAAAAGTTGAAATTTAGATGCTTCCCTTGAGGGCTCCAGTACTGATTTGTTGAATTTATATCCTGCTTTTCTTCCACTGACTTCCCTCCTCCCAAACCTGCGAGGTAAATGAGACTCTGAGATGTTGACTGGCTAAGGTCACCAGTGGTGGAATGGGGATTTGAACCCAGACCTCCTTGTCCTAGTGCAGTAGAGAAACCACATAGCTGGGATGGAGAACTTGTGTCCCTCCAGATGTTTTGGGCTACAGAGACCCTTTATTATCGGCTGTACTGGCTAGGAATTCTTGAAGGTGAAGACCAAAACCTCTGGAGGCAAAGGTTCCTCATTCCTCTGTTATGTGTCAGTGAGATGGACCAGATGTGCTTGCTGCCCTGTGTGAAGCAGTAAGACAGATAGACCAGAGCACTAAAAAAATCCTAGGCCCTTCTGAGTTCAGCAGCTATTTTAGGCTGCAATGAGTTTGAGAAGTGGAATCACACAACAGGTAGACTGTGGGAGGTAGACCTGTCCTCCCTTCACAGGTTCTGCTACCTTCAATACTGATGTCTTTGGTATGGCTGGCTGGAGAATAAGAGGTACTTTACACCAGTGGTTCTTAACGTGGGCAGTAATGCTGTAGCCAAAGAGCCTTTTTTAGATGTTGCAATTCAAAAATATGCAGGGTGATGCAATTGGCAGAAGTTTATCTGGCCTGTTGAATCAATGTTAAGTGGCCTTCTGGGTGCTGTGCATTTGTGAACAGTCTTCTGAAGAGAGGTAGTGCTGGCAGCATTTAAGTTATATTTTCTGTCATACTTTATGTTCATAAGTGATTGCTTTGCACAGTGCCTGAGGTATAGCTGTGTTAGTCTCATACCCCAAATGCACCAAAAGGAAAGGAGAAAAAAGTTTTGTGCCACTTAAAAGACTGACAATTCTTATATCATAAGCTTTTATGAAACTGGGCCTATGTTGTGCATTTTGTGGAAATGTTATTTTAGTTTATTATGTATTTATTAAATTTATACCCCACCCATCTAGATCAAAGTCTACTCTGGGCGGCTAACAATAATAAACAGAATAAAAACAATATAATAAAATTTAAAAAAACCAACAATAGTAATATAGTTCAAGATGGAAAAAATATTCAAGTTATGACAGGAGGGAAAGCCTGCCTAAAGAGCCAGGTCTTCAGTTTGCTCTGAAAAACACCCAGTGAGGGGGTCAGACAGATAGTCTCTGTGGGCAGAGTATTCCAGAGGCGAGGGCCCACTGCTGAGAAGACCTGGTTTCTTGTTCTTTCTCTCCGGGCCTCCCTCAGCGTTATACTGTACTGTACACGAATCAGTCAGAATTAATACATAAATCCATCAATTATTAAACTGATATTTCTTTCCCTACCCAATGGTTCTTCTAAAAACTGAGACAAATGAAGAAGCGGGCATGCCACATTTATAAAATCAGCAATATTATTCATTTGGAAGCAGTAAGTGCTGAGGGATGCAAGATGGCGAGCATGCTTGCCCTTGTGCTCTGCTTGTGCCTTTCCCAGAAGCAACAGGTGAGCCACGGTGGGGGACAGAAGGCAGGATAATGGGGAGTGACTGGCTCAAAATCATCAAAGGAGTTTCATGCTTTAGTGAGGATTCCCAGCTCTAGCCCAGCTCTCTGACCACTCCAGTACAATGGCCAGAATCCCAGTAAAGTGCATTGACTGTGGAGCAGCAAGTAACTGCTAATTAATGAGTCACTAACTAAATTACTATTAGTGTGCCAGTTTCATGACTTGGCATATGACTAGAAATTCATTTGAGGACTCATTTATTTGCAACTTCTTCACTCTGAGTTACAACAGTACATTTACTCAGACATAAATTTTGGCTTGCATTCTGACCACTGGCCATCAATCTTTGCATACAGCAGGTTCCCCAAGATCATGAAATGGAAGAGGTGCAGTTTGTTGTAATAGTTCCTTGCAAAGCTGAAATGAATGGAGATTAAGTACATTAATCTTTTTCAACAGCAGGAAGTGGCTATCAGATGGACACTTTGCCAGATGGAGTAGGGACTATCTCCATAAGGTGGATGGCTTGTTGCAGGGGCTGCACAGTTCTCCATACCTACTCCCTAGTAATTGAAAACATATAGCTTAGTGGTAAAGATGTGTAAAATTTTGCAGAGTGCTATTTGGAATTGTAGGGATACCATTCTTGATCGAAGTGTGTAACTCGTGTCATTGGCATGTGTCTTATCATGGTTGAGTTTTTGTAAAGTGGCCTTGCTGTGCTGTCTAGGTGCACCTTACATAGAAATTGCTGGATTAACAGTCAATACCTTTGAGATGTCTTCTGCCAAAGCATTATGACTGTCATTGATTTTGTTGGTTTGGAGAGAGATTTTTCAGGAGGTTTTGATGATAACAGAAGTATGTATTTTAAGAGGACAATCTCATAAGGTATGGCATGTAGTTATTTATGGCACATAATTCTAGATAAGTTATTTTCCTCCTCAGTTATAGTTCTTGAGAACTTTGCCAGCATTACAACATGATATTGCATTCCACGCTGACTGATAATACACCCATCTAATTAGAACCTAGTTTAGCTGAATGCCACACAAAATTGCTAAGAATGTATTACTTTGCAATGTGATTGTGGCCACTAGCTTTAGATAACTAGAACCAGGTTATTAGATAACTTCAAGAAATAGGAATAAATACTAGTCATGATGGTGATATGGAATGCGAAGGTAAGAGAATAAGCTATTGAATATTATTTGCTCAGACAAAGCTGCAGTGAAGGGCATTATCTTGTACTGGAAGAGTTCACAGTACTGTTCTTTTCTGTTATATTTACATGTTGTTTTATGTATCTGGAAGCTGCCTAGAGTGGTTGTAAGACCAGATAGACAGGATATAAACAAACAAACAAATATTTGTAATAGGCCACTGTGGAGGGCAGTATCCGGGCTCAATTGTTTCATTTGGTCTGCTCAAGCAGGGCTGCTCTTAAGAACGCAAGTGAGCCCGCACGGGGTTATAGGTATATGGTCCTGATTAAAAGACTGCCTTAATTTGGCAGACGAATGGCCAAGGAAGCACATGATGGGCCCCCAGTCTTGTATTCTTGCTAGGTCATCTAGCTAGAATTTCTGGTTGCCTTTCAGGGTTGGCTTCCTTTCATAGCCGTTTCACATAGTGCTGCTATGTGACGGTGGAGGGGGCAGGAACGGCCAGGGCAACATGCAGCTGAAGCTAACTTGACTATCATAAAAATGTGTCAATACGCATCAAGCATACCTTTATGTTCTGAAGACCCTTTTTGGCATCTTCACCCCAGCTAGGAAACTGTACACTGCTCGAATGCAAACAAGAAAGATATATGCCACTTCAGTGCAAAGTATCCTCTGACATTAGGCATACCTGCTGTAAACAGAGTAAGCTTTGAAGATGGAATCCCTATTAGTCTCACTTTAATTGAAGTTCAGAAAAGGGAAAGCGCCAGTTTTTCTCCATCTTTCATTTCCTGTAGCTGAGGCTGGGAGAGGAGATGCCGAAAAGAGAAAGGACCATTCTAGAAATAAATTGCTCTGCATTTCCAGGGCTGCTTTTGCGAGGAAGGTGTACCTCCCCCCCATTTGCTGTCAAACAGCTTGATCCTTAGGCTGAGGAAGCTGAAATTAGTGAAGAAATGATTTGTAAAGTCACTTTTAAAAAGCAACTTCCAGTTTAAAAAAAAAATTCTGAGGTGATTTTGTAGAAACAAAACTCAATACAAGATAAAATTAATTTAACCAACTAGAGAACAACAACAATATGGCAAAAAAGACAGTACTGAATAGAGTAAAAACTGAAATCCTGCCCAAAGCAGTAAAAATTCTTAATCTTATCGTAGAGGTAGCTGCGTTAGTCTATTTCAGCAATAGCAAAACCGGAACGAAATCAAAAAGTATTGTTGCAAATACAAATTAACAAATTAATTTCATTGTATTCCTTCAAATATTGCAATTCATTTCTTCAGTGTCTACATTTTTTCTTATTGATCTATTACTGTTAGGCACCAAATGTTTGGCAATATATATTTTTAATGTTTTCATTTAGTACCTAGCTAGACCTCTCAACCTCTGCAATACGTTGTCTGATGGCTTATCATATGGATAAGGCAAAGAAGCCATTCCCTCTAAATTTAGCAAATAGAGCTGGCTGTATGGCTCAGTGGTTTAGGACAGCCAGCTTGAGTAGTTATGGGCAAACTGCACAGTCCCAGAAGAGGAATAGTAAACCACTTCTGAGTACTCTCTACCTAGAAAACCCTGGGAAGTTTTAAAATGCATAATTCTGACCATAAGTCAGAACTGACTTGACGGTATGCAATTATTATTTTATTAGACAGGTTAAGCCTATTGATGGAAAATCTGAATTTGACCAAAAACTAAAGATAGCTAGCCAAAACCCAAGTGTTAGACTTCAGGTATCCCACCTCCAACTGCAGCAGTGCATTTGAGACTCAGAGGGATACTTGAAGAATACCTCTCGGAAACCTTGTTTGAACTACTTCTGAGGGAGTAAAAGGAGAATAAGGGCCCAGTTGTGTACCATAAAGACTGAGATTTGGCTTATCTAGTACCTAAAACTCAGTAAGATGTGTTTCATGTGCAGAGCTTGGAAGGGGAATTTCCTTTTGGACTACATCTCCCAGAACCCCCCTGTTTGCATGAGCAAGTGCTGTAACTTTTCTAAGCTCTCAGTGCATTTTCCTGGTGAAAGAATTCTATTATCAAGGCACCACCATAGAAACATTTCTAGTCTGTCTCTAGACATGACCTATTTGATTTGAAAAGGCAAAAGTCCTGGACACTGGTCTTCAAAGAAAACCTTAATTGTTGGGTCTGTGACTTTTTAAAGGCTCTTTGTGTTTTACTGGACAACATCTTAGGCTGTAAATGTTAACTGGAAAGGGAAAGCAGCCATTTC